CGTGTGTGTGTGCGTGTGTGTTGTGCGCGTGAATGCGTGCGTGTGTGTTGTGAGCGTGAATGCGTGCGTGTGTGCGTGTGTGTGCCCCCCCCACCTCTTCATCCAGGAAGCCGCATGTCGTAATCTGGAGGCTGACAAAGGTGCACTGCGCGCTGGCGGAGCGCGCTGATGTGGACGTGAAGTAGGGCAGGAACTGGCGCACGCTGGTCGCCCTGCCGGCAAGGAGGCGCCTGCGGCGAGGGCGGGGACCAGGCGATCAGACGGGGAGGGGGCATCGTGCGCGGGAGAGGTACTCAGAAGGGTGGCGAGGACTTGATGGGCGGCGCTACGAGCACCGAGGAGGGGCGATGGGCGGCAGCTGCAGACACACACGGCACGGCTGCACCGCCAGAGCCTACACGCATGCACGTGGAAATGTGACCGTTCAATGACACTTGCCATTGACAAACGCGCGTGTGGCGGCCGCACCTGGCCGAAACGATCCCGCCTATCACCACCTTTTACCACACCGGCACACCCCCAGCCACGCGCGTGCACACACACACACATACACACACAACCACAATCTGCTTTCACTCTATCAAACAAACACACACACTTGCCCGCACACGCACGCGCACACACACAAGCGTGCGCTCGGCACCCGACACTCACACGCACTCAAAAGCGGCACTGTCGCGCGCACCTGACCGAGTTCTCCAGCAGCAGCACCAGCGTGGGGTTGCGCAGCAGCTGCCTCTCCATGATGGAGGTGTAGTCCTGGGGTTTGCAGTTTGGGGTTGGAAATCCAAGGGTCAAGCCATCAGCTTGAGCATTGCACAGGTGGCAGCGGCGTCGCGTTGCGACTAGCCAAGCCCGAGCTCGTAATAAAAAAATGCGCTTCAAGGTCGGTTGCACTGCAAGTAATCCGCGGCCGAAACCACATTTCGCGCACCGCACGCAGAACGCTGCGCGCCGCCCCAAGGCAGTGCGGCCGCGAGGCGCGGCTCGCGGCCCTCCCCCGGGCTGACCTCCAGTGTCTCAATGTTGAGCATGTCTTGGAGCGGCCCGTTCAGGAAGACCGGCTCCAGCCGCGCCAACTGTTCGCCCTCTGGCGCGTCCATAATACGAGACCCGCCAGAGCACCGCCGCCCCAGCCCGCCGTCGCCCGCGCCGGCGCCGGCTGCCGCCGCGGCCGCGGCGGCCGTGCTCACGGCGCACGGGGAGCGGGGCGGCGTGCCGCCGCCGACGGGCTGGGGGCCGGGCGGGGCGCGCGGCAGCAGCGGCGAGAGCGGCGCTGCGCGGGAGGCGCAAGAGGCGACGGGGGAGGGGGTAAGCGAATTGTTTGCGGCAGGCTCGCAGCGCTGGCAGCACAGCATACGCGCTGTCACAAGCAACTGCTCGAAGCTCGAGACACATCACCGCAGCAGGGTATGGCTGCAGATCCGCACCCGATGCCGGCACCGAGGCCGCCGCCGGTGGGTGCTGCTGCAGGCTGGGCAGCCGCACAGCCGCCAGCCCGCCGCCCGCGGGCCCGTCGTCGGAGCCCGCCGTCGCCAGCGCCGCCGCGGTCGCCTCCGCCTCTGCCTCCGCCTCCTCCTTGTCGAGAGCATCCCACACGTTCTGCAGGCTCCTGTGCCGCAGCAGCGCGTGCGAGCTCGCCGCGCGCACCGCGAACGTGTTGCCGTCGTCGGAGCGGCTGCCGCGGCGGCTGGAGGCGGCGGTGGAGGCCGTCGCGGGCGGCGGCGGCAGCTGCCCCGCAGGTGCGATGTGGTGCTCGGGTACCCAAGAGATAAAGGAGGCACCCGCGCCAGCGCAGACGCCACCACTGGGGCCTGCGCCGGTGCCGCCGACGGTCGAGCCTGGGGCAGACAGCGCCCCGACCCCCAGCCCGCCGCTGCTGTGCCGCGTCGGCCCGTGGCCGGAGCTGCGGCGGCGGCCGCGCAGCGGGGAGCCGCCGCCGGCGGCGGCAGCAGCGGCAGCGGCGGCGGCGGCGGTGGCGGAGCTGCTCGTGCGCCGGACCTGGCGCGCCGCGACCGACCACTGCGCCGGCCCGCCGCCGGCGCCGTTGGCGGGGCCCTCGTTTGGCGCGCAGGGCTGGGCTGCGTCCAGCCCGGGGTCTACTTGCTGCTCCGCCACTCGAACCACCGCGATGGCGCGCGATGTCCGCTGGAAGGCCGCCCTCAAGGACTCTTTAGAGACCACAGGCAGGCCGCCTGGGGCGGCGCAGGGGTGACGGCGGCGGCCGCGGCGGCTCTTTTAGCGTTTGCTGTTAGGGCCGGGCGCGGTGAAGCAGGCCTGGGCGACTTCCATGCGAAAAACCCCCAACCGCAGTCCGGAGCGTCGGCGCGAATAGCGGGGTTTGAATTCTGCCACCCAGCACGCGCGACAGCAGGCGGCGCGGGCGCCAGGCGGGGGGCGCTCGGGCGCCGGGCGGCGCCAGGGGCGCGCGCACGTGGGTGTTGCGGCAGCGCGGCGCGCTGCACGAGATCCTCGTTTGCGAGCTCCCCGCAGGTGAACGACGCCGGCGAGTGCGGCGCGCTGCCGCTGTTGCCCGCGCCACCGATGGGCCCGCCCTCCTCCCCGCTGGGTATCCGCAGCGCCACGAGCGAGCCGAACGCGTCCGCTGCGCGTGGAGCGGTATGTGTGTAGAGGGGGGAAGAGGACGGGGCGGGGGTGCGGGATGGTGGCTGCAGTAAGAGCGGCACCTTCACGCAGGGCACCTGGTGGGAGCCCAGTATCAGTGAATCTCCCCGCATGCTGCCGCGGTCAACTGCGGGTTTTACGCACCAGATGGGTTGCCTCCATGCGCGCGAAAGGCCACGTGCTTCTCGTACGACCGCTGCCTGTCGAACGCGCCGCCCGCATCTCTGGGTCGCACCGCGTGCCCTACATCAGTCACTGCGGGCTGCTCGTCATGGGGCACGTCTGCAGCTGCTCGCGCCGATGCACGCGGCTGTGCTGCCGTGGGGCGCCCCAAGCAGCCCAGAAGGCCGAGAAAGGTCATAGCTGCGCCATGGAGAGCTGAGAGTCCCCCGACAACGGAGGTGCCATCGACTTGAGTTGCGAACTCAGAGCATCGATGCGATTAATGAATATGTATGTGTGCGATGGCATGATCGAATGCTATGATGGGCGTGCGAATCGACAACGGGGACTGGGAAGAGTTGTGCCCCACTGTGTCAGGGCAGAAGCTGCATCCCCTCCAAACAGGTGCCATCCCTCGCTATCGCAAGACTCTTGCGGAAGACAATGGCTGTGTATATATGCAACAGTTTCTTGAAAGTTCGAAACACACTCAGATCACACGCGCCATTCAGGGCCAGCTCTGCGCATGCACCTCGCTTTGAGCTTTGCGCTTCCCCAGGATTGCGTGCGTTTTTTGTGATCCCTCAGCGCACTCCTGCCTCAGCAGCTTGCATGGCGGCGCGCGCGCGGCACGACACCGGTGGCAATGCGGCAGTGAACCCACGCTGCGCTGTGCTGAGCTGCAGCGGGTGCAGCTGTGTGTGACGTTGCCCCTGGACGCGCAGTCCCGCCGTGCGCATAAGCGAGTGTCGTCAGCAGGCGCGGCGTGGCGTGGCAGCGGCAGGCGTGGCGCATAAGCAGCGGGAGCTCGCCAGCAGCCATGGCGAACAGTCTCGAGCAGCTGGCGAATGAGATCCAGGGCGGCGTGGACCTCATCGCCGCTGGGCCGCATGAGCGGGACCTGACAAATTTGAGTGAAACGGAGCTCCAGGAGCTGGCAAACCACCCAACGGCACAGTCTTTCACCCTGCCCCAGTACCTGGAGGAGAGAATCATCAAGCTGCGCAAGACTTTAGGGAACATGCGGGACTCGGGCAAACCGCCCCCCGCGGAGAAGTACGCCTGCCTCGACGGGCTGAGGGCCAAACTGAAGCTGGCACAGATGCGGCAGCACGGGAAATCCTTTCTTGACAACTCACTCAAAGCTGTGAAGGCAAACCAGGAGGTTGGTGGTGTGTGGAGCCCGATGCAGCATCCAGCCCAATGCATGCATTGCACATGCGCGGGGCATCATGCAAGCGTGTTGCATGGCAAGCATGCGCTATGGTTTATGTAGCCTGTGAAACTGCATGACTGCCTGCCCGTCTGCCCGCGGACCCATGACTGATGCGGCGCGTGGTGTTGCCCTCCAGGTGCTGGCAGAGGAGGAGGAGTTGCAGCGCGCGGTTGGTGCGGCCCCGGGCGTTCAGGTGCGACGAATCGTCACCGCTACCCTGCCGCATGTGCTGCGTGGGTCATGGTATAGCACTCAACCTACTCTGCATGCCAGGGTGATGCCGTATCGAGCGTTTCACTGGCAGGAGCTGCCTCGAGTCCTCACATTGTCACCGCCCACGTCGCAGGCTGCTGCCCGGCGCGTGACGCCGAACTCCATGCGGCAGCAGCCTCCCCAGAACGGCCCGCAATGCAACGGAAATCGCCAGCTTCAGGCGGGGCTGGCGAAGCAGCAGCAGCAGCAGCAGCAGCAGCAGCAGCACCAGCAGCAGCAGCAGCACCAGCAGCAGCAGCAGCACCAGCAGCAGCAGCAGCAAAAGTGGCAGCAGCGACAGCAGCCGTTCCAGCCAATACAGTCAGCGCAGCAGAACAGGCTTGGGTCGCTGTCGCTGACGCGGTCGCAGCCACGGCAGCAGCAGCAGTACGAGCAGCAGCGTCAGCCGCCCGTGGCCCCAGGCAACTTCAGAACGCAGCTGCAGCCCCCGCTGCTCTCGCGCCCAGGCCAGCCAAGCATGCACCCAGGTGCGCGCATGGCTGCTTGCGTTCTTGAGGGGGACGCGTAGCCACCAAACCAAACCTCGCGCGACCGGCCGGTGCCGCTTGCCAAGGGGCACCTGCAGTGTGGTCTTTGGAAGCATGGGCCTGCCGCATGGTCGTAGGCCCGCCCTCCACGCGTTGGCCACCTTCCTGTGCGGGCCGGGATCCTGCCGCCTCTCCTCACTGCGCCCGCCCCGCGCGCTTGGCGCACCTCGTGCAGCGCCCATCAAAGGAGCGGCTTCCAAGGGCGTTGAGGGCTTCCTCAATATTTCGGTCGGGTGAGGGTAGCGAACTGGAGCGCGGCGCGGCGTTGATGACGGGGCCGGGGGCTCACATTGTGTGCGCCCTGCCGCACCAGCACCTGGCGCCTGCACCCTCCTGCTTCAGCATCCTAGGTGTTGACGCTGCAGCCGCTGCCTTCTGCGCTCTCGCCGGCGCCCGCGCGGCTGCCCGTGCACGGCGGGCCGAAACGCATGTCCTGGGCACCGCAAGCGCAGGGTCCCCGCCACGTGCCCACCCCACGCCGCGCTCGGCCTCGCAGGCGCTGCCACATATGCCGAGATGAGTTTCACAGCCACAAGCTGCAGGGCGCGGAGGGCGGCCCCAAGATCTGCGCGGGGTGCTTGGCCAACCAGAACAACGAGATGGAGGCGGTCAAGCGGGTGCGCCGGGCCGGGGAAGGGGAAAAGGCGCCCAGGGCTGCATGGGCCGAGCACCTGCTGCACGCCGCGGGCAGTTGTGCGGCACGAGGGGGGGGCCTCTTGATTCAGGAGGATGGCTGACGCGCCAGCTTTTTTTACACATGAGGCCATTCCAACACACATTGGGACACCTGCATCGCATCCACTCCTTGCCCCGCGAAACGCTCCGACGGTCTGCGGCGCGCGTCGCTGCATCCACGCGCAGCAGGCGCGGGCCGGCGGCCCCGCGCGCGCGAGGGGCAGGGGCGCGGCGGGCGGGCAGGCGGCGGGCGCTGCGGCGAGGGGCGCGGGAGCTCACGGCAACCAGGGGCACAAGGTGAGCAGTAGTGATGGCGGTCTCGAGGAGCGTGTGCTGCGTGGGCGGCGCATGCATCATACGGCTGGGGCGCTGCAGGCGGGCGCTTCCTGCCCCTCAGCCTGGCTGCGCTGCGCCAGGGCTGGAGCGCCGCCTGCCGCCACGTCTCAACCCACTCAACATCATTCCCATACACAGCCCGGCCACGCCTCTCGCCCGCCCTGCCTACCTGTGATTTCAACCCCGTGGCTCCCCAGGCCCCCAAGGAAGCTCCTCCTGTACTTTAGGCCCATCCGCCTCTCTTTTCCCCCTCTAAATTCCCATTAAACCACAGGACGCGCCCATTGTTCTCGAGGACAGCGACGAGGGCGAAGACGACGGCGCGCGCCACCCCGCGCCCCCGCGCACCGCCGCCGCGGCCGCTGCGGCCGCAGCCAAGGCAGCGCGGCACGCAGCCAACGCGGTCCTGCAGCCGAGCCAGCGCTTCCCGGTGCGCTCGCCCGCGCCCCCGCCAGCGCCTTTGCCCCCGAGCTGCTAGGTTCTTGATTTTTCCTGGACCGCACCCACCCGGCCACCTTGCCCATTTCAAGCCTTGCGTTTGAACCCTGCGGCCCCCCCCCCCTC